TTAGGATTGTTATGTCTTCTGGGTGGATTGACCCTTTTATTATTTTGTCATGTCCCTCTCTATCTCTGGTAATTTTCTTTGCCCTGAAATTTACTTTATCTGATGTTAATATAACCATTCCTACCTTATTTTGATTGTTTGACATAGTTTTTTCCATCCTTTTACTTTCAACCTGCCTATATTATTATATTCAAAGTGAGTTTCTTACAGACAGCATGTAATTAGGTCATGTTTTTTCATCTACTCTCCCAAGGACTCAAAAGGAATTTTAATTGATAAACTGAGAAAATGTGTTTTGTGAACTAACCATGTATCTTAAACATAAAATTCTGACTTCCAGTTTCTGATTTGGTACGGACCATCCTCCACCAACTTTGCCTTGCTTGATCTCAGGGCTCATGGATGGTGGGGAAAAAAGACTGAAAGGCCATGGATAATCTCACTATTCTATTACCAAGGATAGATTTTATTACCAGTGTTTTAATTGCTATAACTAGGCCACTTACATTCAATGTAATAATTGATATGTTACGCATAACAAAATGGCTTAAGTCTGCCATTTTGTATTTTCCATTTATTTTGTCTCTCATTTCTGTTTTCCTGTCTTCTTGTGAGTTACTTTAACATTTTTAGAATTCCATTTGACTTATCAACCTTGTTTTTGACTGTCTCTCTGTATATCCTTTTTAGTGGTTGCTGTAGGTATTTTAATATATACATAATTACACACTTTAATACATACAAAATGTATGTATTACATTTCTGCTGGTGTCATCATTTTACCAGTTTAAGTGAAGAAAACTTACCATCTTTTACATCACTTTACCTTCTTCCACTTATAATTGTCTTAAGTATTTCCTCTACAAATGCTAAGATGCACATCAGCAGACATGGGAGCACCATTTATGCTTGTTTTGTTGGTGGTCTCTGGCTCGTGTAGAGCCAAGAAAATTGTCCAAGAGTTTTCTGTCTGCTAGGTTGCCCCTTTCCTGTTCCTTTAGCTAAGAGAGAGCAGACCCCCCCAACCCCAACACAACTCTTAGAATTTCTGGGTCACTGGCTTTTTTAGTCTGGGATATATGAGGCAAAAAGAAAACCCAGGAAATTTGCCAGTGTGGTACTACTTGGGACCCAAGGTACCTAGTCATTTAAACTTTCTCTCTCCATCTTTCAAAGTCTTATGTTTCTTTTACATATAATACCCAGAGTTTTTGGTTGTACTTTGTGGGAAAGAGAGGAAAGTACATTTACTGCATCTCCCTGGAAGCAGAAGTCCTGCCGATGCATTTTTAAAAGCTGGCCTCTGGCTCCACTTTCATAAAAGATATTTCCCTATGAAACAGGTTCAGCATCCCAGTGCCCTTCAAAAGAAATGGAAAACATGCAACATCCAGATTTGAGGCAAAAGAAAAAAAAATGTAATGTATAAAAATTAAAAGAGATAGAAAACAAATTTGCCACAGGAGAAAAGATGTTCAGCCAGGTTTAGACCATCTCAATCTGCCTGCCAAGACACTATGCCAGGAGCAAAAAGCTAGCTAAGTTTGCTATGAATGCCTTAAAAAAATGAGATAATGTGAAAGCTGATGATTTCATTCATTGCCCATGCAGACTTCAGAGGTATTATTCCTCTTTATGTCTCTCCAATCTTAAAAAATAATAGATAAAAACATATTTTCCTCCCAGTATCACTCTCATTTCTTCACAGGCAACTGCTTGGAAGGCTGTCCATGCTCATTTACCCCCATTTTCTCACCATCACCTTCATTATTCCTCAGCTCACCTCAAGCTGGTAGCTGACCTTTTCCCACCATTCCAACAAACCTGCTCTAGCTAAGGCAATGCCTCATTAGTCATTATATTTCTGTCTTCGTCTCACTAATCTCCAGGCAAAACTGACCCAGTTGACTCCCCTCCTTGAAGTGCTCTTCCTTTGCTCCCTGCAATGCCATATTGTCCTGGTCTTCTCCCAAGGCTGTCTCCTCCTTCTCTTCCTCTCCTTTAGTAGAGGAGATCTTGATGCTCTGTCCTTGGTCTCTTTCCCAGAGTATTTCCTCCACAAGGCGATCTCTGCCAAGCTCCTGCTCCCTCCCCATCCTGGCAGTCACCTCAACTCTGCACATTCAACACACCAATCCACCATCACCACCTACCTCCCAACTATCCCTCCATCGCTGCCTCCCCTACTTTCCAGCTGTGGCCCTAATCCAAATAACCAAAGTCAAACTAGCCTCCCCGGTGTCTCAGACCAGCGGGCCCACGTGCTCAATGCTCAGTGCCTAGTGCTCCCCTGGCCTGGTGCTTTAACCCCTCTGCTTTGGGCTGCGTGGTTAATCTTTCAGTGTCCAACACTAAAGGAAGTTTGAACGTTGGTCCATCCTATTCACTGGGATCTGGAGCACAGCACACAGCGAGTCCCCGATAGATATTCGTTTAGTGAATGGGAAAAGTGGGGAAGGCAGAAAGGAGAGTTAGTCACTCAAGGCTCTCAGCAGAGCCTGAGAAAAATCCCCTTCCGCCACACACAACATGGCGGCAACCTGGACTCGCGCCCAACTTCCGCTTCCGGTGCGAGCAAACGTCACTTCCCCTCCGGTTGCCCTGGAGCCCCTTGGAAGCTAAGAATATGAGGACATTTCTGCGCCCCTCTCCCCCTTCCTATTCTTTATCTTCGCCTCAGCTCCGGGGTAGCTTGACAGAGTGGCTCTGAGGCTGTGCCGCTCGCGGCTTGTCGGGGCCGTCCGCGTGAGGGGTGTCTGAGAGGGACGGACGAGAAGCGGGGACGGAGCGGGAGGTGGCCGGGAGGCGTGCCCGCTAAGTTTGTGATGAAAACTCACCCAGATCCCGGGTATTACTGGGCTGATGGGTGTGGCAGACGCAGGGGGTGCGCAGAGACGATGATGCTTCCTAGCCAGGACTTCATGGCTATACAATGTGTATGTACAGGGCATCTCGGCAGCCTTAAAACCATTTTCTTCCTCTTTTAGATTTATCCATTAAACTGGGCCCCACTATGCCCCACCTCTGCTGTCTGGTAAACTTTCCTCCTGTTTCTGAGGCCATGCCTAGCATGAAGAGTCTTTATTGAATAGTTTTCATTAATGGCAGGCACCATTCTTCACTCTTCTCACCCCTTTATTGAAATGGCAGTGAAAATCCAAGTAGTAAAAGCACTGTTACAGAGGCTGAAAAAGCTACAGGAGTTCAGAGCCATCGACTTTTATTTTTAAAATGAAGATCTCTTGTACTGGATGGAACTTAAGGATGTTGGCATTGTTCAAATAGGTACTGTGTGACTTGAACGCAGTAGAAATTTTGCCATAGATGATAAGATAGGATGGTCACCAAATGAATATCTCCTGACATGCAGACCTAGTGAGAAGAGCCATAATCTTCACCTTGGTGTTGGAACAGACTGCAAAGTTTGCCTTTCCTAGAAGCAGTCCCCGCATTCAGGTTTGCTTAGTTGTTTCATTTCTGGCCTGATATATATATTTCGTTTTTTGGCAGAGTGCAGCAGAACTCCCCAGGTAGCTGAGAAGTTTATGGAATCGTATTTGGTACGCCTTTCACTGTTGCTTGCATTACAGTGCAGAGTAAGGTTGTGCATACATTTCCTAAATGCCCTGTGTACCTAAACAGCACACTGCAACTCGACTACTGAAAGTCAAGAGAAACAGGTTTGAATGATTGGTGAGTGCAACGTAGAAAGGGCATTTCATTTGATAATAGAAGCATAGCTTTTGTGCTAATAAAATGCTTTGAAAGTTAGTGGGTGGTTTTTAATAATTAGCATGTAAGTTTTAGTTATACATTGGTTCATAACAAATAGACTAATTAGGTACCCCACTCGGTCATTCATCTAAATGAAAAGTTCTGCTAGATTGTATTTGTGGGTATTGATCAAAGCTAATGGGAAAAAGAGATTAAGATGAAAATCATGGGATTAAATTTTTAATTAGTTTGCCCCTTGAACCATTGCTTGGTGCGACATGGTGATTGATTGGCTACTTATGCCCACCTAGGAAGATGTGGGTCTACTTCCAAACCTCTTGAGTATAAGAGTGTTTTACAAAAGACTGAATATTTTATTCAGTTATCTTTCACTTTATTCCTGCTTAACAAGGAATTGAAAAGGAAGGCAAAAGTCTGGCATCTCATAGTTCTTTGTCTAGTGATACATATAAAATATAAGATGGGGACTTCAGCCAGTTCATTTATAAATTTCTCAATCTTAACATGTCTAAAATCAAACTCTTGATTTCCTACTCCCTATTGCCTCTCCCAGGGTTCCTTATTTCAACTAGTGGTGCAGTATCAGTGTGCTCTAGGCAAAAACTGGGAACAGTCTCCATTCTTTTTTTCCCTCATTCCCCACAGCTCATCCATCAACAAGTTCTACTGACTTTTCTTCTAAAACATATCGTATATCCATTCATGTTCTCCTCTCTACCACCCTAACCCAGGCACCATCATCCTTTAACTGGTTAACTGCAACACCCTCTTAATTAGGTCTCCCTACTTCTAATCTTGTGACCCATTTCTACCATATCAGTCCATTCACCACACAGCAGCAGCCAGAATATTTGTTTAAAACATAAGTTAGAATCTATCACTCCTTTGTCTAGCACTATCTGGTGCCTTCCCATACTACATTAATTAATGCCCTACAAGGCCCTACATGGTCTAGACTCAGTCTGGGACCACTATCTACCCCTCCACTCTCTATAATCCAGACATACTATCTTTCTCTCTTCAACCTACAGAGCGAGCCCTCTCTTGTTTAGGCCTAAACTTTAATGTTATCTCTTCAAATAGGCCCTTTCTTGACCACCCACACTGAAATGTCATCACAACCTCCATCATTATTGCAATATTTTGTATCTTTATTCATTTGTATATTGGCTGTCTCCTCCCACTAATACATAAGCTCTGTGAAAGTAAACATCTCGTCTATCTTGTGTGTTACTGTATCTCCAGGGGCCTCCAGTGGTCTCTGATATATGAAGGAGTGAATGTATATGTGCATGAACTAATGAATTCTTTGGGCCCCAAAGCTGTTACCATCTCATTTCAGGTACACCGAAACAGGAGGGCTAGGAAAGGTCCAGGGATCAAATGCTGCATAGAATGGACCCTGAAGCACAAGACATGGGCAAGGACACAGTGGACAGAGACAGGAGAAACATTGAGTGGACAGCAGGGAGATGGTTAAGGAAATGGAAATGATATAGAGCAACTCCAGAGATATGTTCTGGAAGTCTTAAACCTTGCACAAGCTGCAGCTGCACACACATACACATATTCCAGCTTGAAGAATCTTGTCTCTCAACATTTTCTCTGTCCCTGCATCTTATAGAACACTTTTCTTGGTGGAGATGCTTCAGTGTTGAGAGTGATTCAGAGGTCTGAATCACAAGTATTACACAGCACAGCAGTGTCTGTGCTGCGTGATACTTGTAGGCTGGTCTCATTCTTGGTCAGTACAATAAGGCCGCATCGATCATAGCAACTGGGAGGAAGCAGTGTGGTACCCTGCAGTGGTTCTGCTGACTCTGTGAGCCTGAGTACCTTGCCCACCCTGGGCCCCAGTTCTCAGATACAAAGTGAAGGCTCACTTGGGCTCCTGTGCAACTTCAAAACGCAAACTTAACTGAAATTGTGCATCTGGGGTTCCCTCCTCCCTGAGGAGCAAGAGGCCTGCTTTTTAGAAAATCCCGAACCTAAGACTACATCCCAATTTGTCAATTCCACATAAATGACATATCATTTCTAATAAGTCATCTAATTTTGTACCATCTAGTATTTATACTGATAATGGACAGAAATCACAGGAGCGAATCATGCCGCTATGACACTCTGATGAAGTGGCTCAGACTTACCCTCTCACTCTTGGTTGGATTCGAGGGCATAGGGATGAGGGAGAGAAAATACCATTGGCGTTCAAATTTAAAAAATGAAAAAGAAGCAAAATGGAGCCTAGACTTTAATCCTTTCATAAATCTTCCTCGCCCCCAATTGTTCAGCCAAATTCCTGGGATTAGCATTCTGTCTCCCATGAACCTTTTGGTTGGATCTTTTGTTAATCTTCTCCCCCTTTGGGGCTACCCTCCACAGTTCTTAAAAACAACTGCAAATTTTGTTCAGATCCAATTCAGGGTCCCACATTGCATTTAGTTTTATGTCTTCTCCAGTCTGTGCTTCGTTATTTCCTTGTCTTTCACAATCTTGACACTTTTGAAGAGAACTGATGAGTTACTTCGTAGACAGTTCCTCAGTTTGGGTCTGCCTACTGTTTTCTCATTGATTCACCTGGGGTTTTGAAGTTTTCTGAAGGAATACTCCAGAAGCGATGGCCCTTCTCCGTGTACCCTGTGAGGGTATGTGATGTCAATATGTCTTATTCCTGGAGATGTGAACTTTGATCAGTTGAGTCAGGTGGTGTCTGTCTGGTTTTCTCACAGTAAAGTGAAGAATACCATGTGCCTTAATATATATTTGAGGGCAGATGTTGTGCAATTCCCTTGGCATTATTTGTGACCAGATTTTCCTTATGTGTGTTGGGGTGCAGGTGAGGGTGAGCAGAGTGATTTGTTCTTACTGCATCCCAGTTACAGATCAGAGCTTGCTATGATTGTGCTGCACAAAATAAGAGCTGGAACAAACCTTTGCCACTATAAGAAATATCTGGGGCTACTCTTGGTAGACACAAAGGAATATACGATCAATGGCATATTTTATTTTGTGTGGGGGGAGTGTGCATTGTTAATTGAATGGAGTTCTTTTAATCCATGAGTTTATTCCTTATTTATTTAAAAAGGGCAACATTTTTGAGTGTCTACAGTGTGCCAGACACTGTACTAGGCTCTACATCTCTTTGCTCAGTTCATATTCATATTACCTTATAATAGATATCATTAGCCATTTTACAGGTAAGGATACTCAAGAGTCAAGGAGGCTCCAAGGAAGTAAGTTGTTCAGAGGCAAGTGGCAGAGCTGGAATGTGAAGCCGGGGCTGTGTAACTCCATGGCACTAAGCCTACTCCCCTACTACATGCCAGGCCCTGCGATCAGTGCTAAAGATTCAGACGTGTGAAGCAGGTGTTCAAGAAGCTCACACCCGACAGTACGGGGGGCGTTTGGAAGAGGCACAGAGGGCCTGGGAAGAACCTTTAATCATGAGTGTCATTCTTTTTTACTTGGTGATAATTCCTTGTGCCTCAAGAATCCCCAAGCTGGCTTTTCTCAGGCCTTTAAGGAGTTAGGTTGGATGTGCCAGGTTGCCTTCAGCTACCAGTAGCTGATAGAGATGGGAATTAGTATCGATGGAATGCCTGTTCTGCCATCATTCATCTCGGCCTCCCTGTGATTGGGCATGTTATTTCCACCAAGCTTATGAGGAAACCAAGGCTCAAAGGGGCTGAAGAACATGCCCAAAGTCACCAGCTAGTAAATGGCTAACCAGGAGTTTGATCCCAGATCTGACTGATTCCAGAGCCTGTGCCCAGTCTCGGTGCCCCTTGATAGGCTAGGGGTACAGATTCTAGCATCGTCCCTGCCGATGTGACTGTGCACCTGTTATCTTCTCACCTGTAGAAAGGATGATCATGTTTATGTAGTGCCTGATGGACGTTGACAGCAGTTCATCTGTACCAAGTATTTTTTGCTTAAACCAAAGGATCTTTGTGCAGCTTTTTTTTTTTAAAACACCACAGTAAATCCATAGCAACAGAAGGAAAACAGAAAGTGATGATTCTGAATCATTTGTGACATATAAAATGCTACTGTATCAACAAGCTTGCTTCCCTAAGAGATACGACATAGGGCAAGTCAGGTCTCTTTTTCCCTGGCTTTTGATGAGAGATTTAGTTCCTCATAGAGTCAATGCTTAAATAGCATTTGATGTTGCTGCTAATAGTTTATGGCCTTCCTGTCTCAGGGTATTTGCTAAACTGTGTAGTGAAGGTGGGGACAGAAAGGGTCCTTCATTCTCCTGCTTCTTTCATTTGACAGCTTTCTGGATTCTCTTGGATCATTGTCCTTTCTATGCTGATTTTGAAAAGGTGAAAGCAAGTGGGAGAGCTGCACTTGCGTGGTTGAATGAGAAAAGGAACTGATTATTAGCAGGCCCAGGGATTAGGATGGGGAGATCAGCTGGCAATCTGGTTTATCAAAGTTACTCCGTTTGGTTTCTACCAAATATGATCGAAGTTCACGGATTATCTTGATTCTGCTGCTATTACTCTGGTAGAGGCAGTGAGTGAGAATGACCAAAGGTACGAGTAGCAGTAGATGTAAAGAAAAATGCAGTATAAACAATTTGAAGTTGTTCCCATCTTAGTTTGGATTCAAGTGTAAGCAATTTATCTGGGAAATGCAGGAACCCTTGGTAGGGAATTGGGAAGAATGAGCTGGGTAGGGAGAAAGGCCAATAAAGGACGTGCTGCCAAGCCAGGCACTTCTGCAGGGAATGGGCTCAGCCCCACCAGGGAGCCCTGGGAAATGGCGGCGTACAGCACATATGTCAGAATTACCCTGCGTTTCCCCACATCCACCCAGGGAAGGGAGCTGGGGTATTTGTACACCAACTGGAGTGTTTATCTATCAACTTCTGAGTGTCAGTGATTGATGGCTGCTCCCACGAGGGGTGCTGGGCTTGGGAGAAAGCCCTCAGGCAAAGAGACGCAGATGCTGCAGTTGAAAGTCAACCAGCCTGCACTCATGCGGTAAGGCCGGAGGGATGCGGGCTGGGTACCAACAGCATCTGCTACGTCCCCTTAAAACAAAGCAAAACGCCCACGCCTCTGCCAGCATTCCACATATCACTACACAGCACACCACTTATTCAGTTTCTCATGCCCAAAGACCTTGGAATCTTCCTTGATTTTTTTTTTCTTTTTTTGCTTTTGCCTCACATTCAGTCATGAACTCCATCTTCCAAATATGTCTTGGATCCTACAACTTCTCACCATGCCCACCACCATCGTTCACTGGATTTCTGCAACAGCTTCTTAGCTCAAATTTGTGTCTACACACTTTTCCCCACGTGTTAGCCAGAGTGATCTTTTTTAAACTTAGATCAGTTTACTCCCCAGTTCAAAACCATCCAGTGGCCTCTCATCACTCTTAGAATGAAATCAGAAATCTTCACCATGCCCTAAAAGACCCTACATGATCCAGCCCTGGCTACATCTCTGACTTCAGTCTCCATCTACTCTCCTCTTTGCTCACAGTGCTCCAGCAAGATTGCTTTTCTTGCTGTACTCTTGCCTCAGGGCCTTTGCACTTGCTCTTTCAACATAGAACACTACTCCATATACTCATTATGAACTATCTTCCTGACATGAAACCTAGTGAGAACAGCCATAATCTTCACCTGGTTTGGAAAAAGACTGCAAAGTTGCTTTCCTAAGAAGCAGTCCCCGCATTCAGTGTTGTTAGTTGTTTCATTTCTGGCCTGATGTATATATTCTCTTTTTTGGCAGAAGTGCAGCAAACTCCCCAGGTAGCTGTGAAGTTTATGGAATCGTATTTGGTACGCCTTTCACTGTTGCTTGCATTACAGTGGAGTAAAGGTTGTGCATACATTCCTAAATGCCCTGTGTACCTAACACACACCAGACTGCAATCGACTACTGAAATCAAGAGAAATATTTGAATGATTGGTGAGTGCAACGTAGAAAGGGGCATTTCATTTGATAGATAAGCATATTTTGTGCCTATATAAAATGCTTTGAAAGTTAGTGTGGTCGGTTTTAATAATTAGCATGAAGTTTAGTTATACATTGGTTCTAACAAAATAGACTAATTAGGTACCCACTCGGTCATTCATCTAAATGAAAGTTCTGACTAGATTGGAATTTGTGGTATTGATCAAAGCTATGGAAAAGGATTAGAGAAAAATACAGGGAAATATTTTAATATTTGCCACTTAAACCATTGCTTAGACAACCATGGCGTTTTGATTGGGGAATGTGGCTACTTATGCCCACCTAGAGAAACGATGATAGAGGTTAACTTCAAACTATTTGAGTATAAGAGTGTTTTACCAAAAGACTGAAAATATTATATTCCAGTCATCTTTCAACTTTATATCCTGCATATAACAAGAAATTGAAAGAGAGGCAAAGATATGCGCTCTCATTAGTTCTTATGGTCTAGTGAATACATATAAAATATAAGGATGGGGATTCAGCCAGTCTATTTATAAATTTACTCAATCTTAAACATGTCTAAATGCAAACTCTGTGCATTTCCTACTCCATATTGCTCTCCAGTCCTTATTGCAACTATGTGGTTGCAGTATCAGTGTGCTCTAGGCAATAATAACTGGGAACAGTCCATTCTTTTTTTCCTATTCCACAGTCATATCCAAAACAAGTCTACTGGCTTTTTCTAAAACTATCGTATTCCCCATTCATTTCTCCTCTCTACCCACCCTAACCCAAGGCACCATCATCCTTTAACCTGGTTAACTGCAACACCCTCTTAATCAGGTCTCCCTATTCTAATCTTGGACCACTACCATATCATCCATTCACACACAGCACAAGCCAGAAATTTTTAAAACAAATTAAGTAGAATCTATCACTCCTTTGTCTGCCTATATCTGTTGTGTCCCATACTACATTAATTAAATCCCTACAAGGCCTACATGCCAGACTCAGTCTGGGGAACACTCTCTACCCCTCTAATCTCTATGATCCAGACATACTATCTTTCTCCTTCAACCTTACAGAGATGGCCCCTCTCTTGTTTAGGCTAAACTTTAGTGTTATCTCTTCAAATAGGCCTTCCTGACCACCCAGCCACTAAATTTCATCAACACTCCAATCATTATTGCAATTTTTGTATCTTATTCATTTGTATATTTGGCGTGTCTCTCCCACTAATACATAACTCTGTGAAAGTAAAGCTTGTCTATCGTTCGTTAATGTATTCCAGGCCCCAAAAGTCCTGATATGTAAATGAGTGAATGTTATATGTGATGAATAATGAATTCTTGGGCCCAAACTGTACTTATTCATTTTCAGGTACACAAAACAGGGAGGGCTAGGAAAGGTCCAGGGATCCAAAATATGCATAGAAATGACCCCTGAAGCACAAGACATGGGCAAGGACACAGTGGACAGAACAGAGAACCATTGGAGTGAACAGCATGGAGATGTTAAGAATAGAACATGATATAGAGCAACTCCGAGAATATGTTCTGGGAAGTCTTAAACCTTGCACAAGCTGCCAGCTGCACACACATACACATATTCACTTGAAGAATCTTGTTCTCAACATTGCTCTGTCCTGCATCTTATAGAACCACTTTTCTTGTGTGGAGATTGTTCCAAGTGTTGAGAGGATTCAGGTCTAGCAAGCGTGTCTGTGCTGGTGTGATATACTTGGTAGCTGGTTCTCATTCTGCCAGTACAATAAGGCCGCAGTCGATCAATAGCAACTGGGAGGAAGCAGTGTGGTTACCTGCAGGGTTCTTGCTGACTCTGTGAGCCTGAAGTACCTTGCCACCCTGTGGCCCCAGTTCTCAGATACAAGTGAAGGCTCACTTGGGCTCCTGTTGCAACTTCAAAACCAAACTTAACGAAATTGTGCATCTGGGGTTCCCTCCTCCCTGAGTAGCAAGAGGCCTGCTTTTAGAAAATCCCAAAACCTAAGATACATCCCAATTTGTCATTCCCACATAAATACATATCTTCTATAAGTCTCATCTAATTTGTACCTCTAGTGTTGTGTATACTGTAATGGACGAAATCACAGGAGCGTAATCATGCGGCTATGAACTCTGATGAAGTGGCTCAGACATTTACCCTCTCATACTTGGTTGGATTCGGAGGGCATAGGGATGAGGAAAGAAAATACCATTGGCGTTCAAATTAAAAATGAGAACTAAGGCACTTTAAATCCTTTTCATAAAATCTTTCCTCACACCCCAATTGTTCAAGCCAAATTCCTGGTTTAGCACTGTCTCCCATACCTTTTGGTGAATCTTTTTTTTTTTTGAGGGACAAGTTCACTTTGTGTCCAGGCCTTAGAGTGAGTGCCGTGGGTGTCAGCTAGCTCACGCAACTCAAATCCCTGGGCTCCAAGCGATCCCTCCTGCCTCGAGCTCCCAGTACTGGGACTACAGGCATGTGCCACCATGCCCCGTATTTTTATATATATATCGATTGGCCAATTAATTCTTTCCTATTTATAGTGAACGGGTATCACTCTTGCTCAGGCTGGTTTTGAACTCCTGACCTTGAGCATCCGCCCGCCTCGGCCTCCCAAGAGCTAGGATTACAGCGCGTGACACAGCGCCCGCTGGTTGGATCTTTTGTTAATCTTTCTCCCCCTTTGGGGCTACCCTCCACAGTTCTTAAAAACAACTGCAAATTTGTTCAAGTCCAATTCAGGGTCCACATTGCATTTAGTTTTATGTCTTCTCCAGTCGTGTTCGTTATTTCCTTGTCTTTCACGATCTTGACCTTATTTGAAGAGAACTGATGAGTTACTTTGTAGACAGTTCCTCAGTTGGGTCTGCCTGCTGTTTTCTCATTGATTCACCTGGTTTGAAGTTTTCTGAAGGAATACCCAGAAGCGATGTGCCCTCTTCCGTCTGTACCTGTGAGGGTATGTGATGTCAATATGTCTTATTCCTGGAGATGTTAACTTTGATCAGTTGAAGTCAGGTGGTGTCTGTCTGGTTTTCTCACAGTAAAGTGAAGAAATACCATGTGCTTAATATATATTTGAGGGCAGATGTTGTGCAATTCCTTGGCATTGTTTGTGACCAGATTTCCTTATGTGTTTGGGGTGCAGGTGAGGGTGAGCAGAGTGATGTTCTCACTGCATCCCAGTTACAGATTAGAGCTTTGCTATGATTGTGCTGCACAAAATAAAGCTGGGAACAAACCTTGCCACTATAAGAAATATCTGGGCTACTCTTGGTAGCACAAAGGGAATATGTGAATCAATGGGCATATTTTTTTTTGTGTGGGGGAGTGTGCATTGTTAATTGAATGGAGTTCTTTTAATCCATGAGTTTATTCCTTATTTATTTAAAAGGTGCAACATTTGTAGCTAAGTTTGCTATGAATGCCTTAAAAAAATGAGATAATGTGAAAGCTGATGATTTCATTCATTGCCCATGCAGACTTCAGAGGTATTATTCCTCTTTATGTCTCTCCAATCTTAAAAAATAATAGTTAAAAACATATTTTCCTCCCAGTATCACTCTCATTTCTTCACAGGCAACTGCTTGGAACGCTGTCCATGCTCATTTACCCCCATTTTCTCACCATCACCTTCATTATTCCTCAGCTCACCTCAAGCTGGTAGCTGACCTTTTCCCACCATTCCAACAAACCTGCTCTAGCTAACGGCAATGCCTCATTAGTCATTATATTTCTGTCTTCGTCTCACTAACCTCCCAGCAAAACTGACCCAGTTGACTCCCCTCCTTGAAGTGCTCTTCCTTTGCTCCCTGCAATGCCATATTGTCCTGGTCTTCTCCCAAGGCTGTCTCCTCCTTCTCTTCCTCTCCTTTAGTAGAGGAGATCTTGATGCTCTGTCCTTGGTCTCTTTCCCAGAGTATTACCTCCACAAGGCGATCTCTGCCAAGCTCCTGCTCCCTCCCCATCCTGGCAGTCACCTCAACTCTGCACATTCAACACACCAATCCACCATCACCACCTACCTCCCAACTATCCCTCCATCGCTGCCTCCCCTACTTTCCAGCTGTGGCCCTAATCCAAATAACCAAAGTCAAACTAGCCTCCCCGGTGTCTCAGACCAGCGGGCCCACGTGCTCAATGCTCAGTGCCTAGTGCTCCCCTGGCCTGGTGCTTTAACCCCTCTGCTTTGGGCTGCGTGGTTAATCTTTCAGTGTCCAACACTAAAGGAAGTTTGAACGTTGGTCCATCCTATTCACTGGGATCTGGAGCACAGCACACAGCGAGTCCCCGATAGATATTCGTTTAGTGAATGGGAAAAGTGGGGAAGGCAGAAAGGAGAGTTAGTCACTCAAGGCTCTCAGCAGAGCCTGAGAAAAATCCCCTTCCGCCACACACAACATGGCGGCAACCTGGACTCGCGCCCAACTTCCGCTTCCGGTGCGAGCAAACGTCACTTCCCCTCCGGTTGCCCTGGAGCCCCTTGGAAGCTAAGAATATGAGGACATTTCTGCGCCCCTCTCCCCCTTCCTATTCTTTATCTTCGCCTCAGCTCCGGGGTAGCTTGCCAGAGTGGCTCTGAGGCTGTGCCGCTCGCGGCTTGTCGGGGCCGTCCGCATGAGGGGTGTCTGAGAGGGACGGACGAGAAGCGGGGACGGAGCGGGAGGTGGCCGGGAGGCGTGCCCGCTAAGTTTGTGATGAAAACTCACCCAGATCCCGGGTATTACTGGGCTGATGGGCGTGGCAGACGCAGGGGGTGCGCAGAGACGATGATGCTTCCTAGCCAGGACTTCATGGCTATACAATGTGTATGTACAGGGCATCTCGGCAGCCTTAAAACCATTTTCTTCCTCTTTTAGATTTATCCATTAAACTGGGCCCCACTATGCCCCACCTCTGCTGTCTGGTAAACTTTCCTCCTGTTTCTGAGGCCATGCCTAGCATGAAGAGTCTTTATTGAATAGTTTTCATTAATGGCAGGCACCATTCTTCACTCTTCTCACCCCTTTATTGAAATGGCAGTGAAAATCCAAGTAGTAAAAGCACTGTTACAGAGGCTGAAAAAGCTACAGGAGATCAGAGCCATCGACTTTTATTTTTAAAATGAAGATCTCTTGTACTGGATGGAACTTAAGGATGTTGGCATTGTTCAAATAGGTACTGTGTGACTTGAACGCAGTAGAAATTTTGCCATAGATGATAAGATAGGATGGTCACCAAATGA